CATGACACTTCTCTATCCAAGTCATCCTAAGAAAAAAATCATTTTTATGTGTATTCAATTTATCCCACATCATAAAGTTCATACACTGTAAAAAGCCATGCCCTTGCTTCTGTCAGCAGTTTTGAGGACAAAATAGTTTGATTAAGCCACTTGATTTATATTATTTTATTAAAGAAAATCCTGCGGTTTTACTTCTATTTTTCATAATGAAAACAAGTACACCATATTTTGATTTTATTTTGTTTTTCTTTTTGTGAAATTGCTTTTTCTGGCTGAAAAAATTCCTGAAGTATAGTGTAAAAGTAAGCACACAAGTAAACTATCTTAAAATAAGAACATAGAAATGAATATGTTTATCTACAGTGCTTCACCAAAAGAAGCATTCTGGAGGAAAAAAATGGGGGTACATTAATTAAAATATTAGTACAAGGACTCCAAAAACCGAGGGAAACAGAGAAAGAACTATATGTTATTATGGGATTTTGAATGTTCCTGATGATTTAAGAGAGCTGCTTTTCACATTAATGTTTCTAGTGAAAAACATCTTTCCTTTAGTTTTGATCAGCTCCTACTAGAGCTAAGTAGGGAATTAGGACCAAAGGTTTCATTATTTTTAAGAGATGAAGCTGTGTTATGGAAAACAACTCATAACCCAGATACAGAGCCGGGTGACTATCTTGTGTTACTTGCTTCTTTTTAAAGCTCGTTTATGCTAAGACAAGGTCCCCAGATTACCCCCATTTTGAGCCACCTTGATGAAAAACCGTCTCAGGAACATGTATCCGCTGTCACTGTGACAGTGCTGTCAGAAGCAAAGTTTTAATTCAAAAGGAGAAATAAAAATCTCACCGTCCAGCTCTGCGTGCAATCCCCAAACTCGGGGATTATTGCCTTGCCTGAAACTCATTTCAACTCTCAGCTAAAAGAAACTCCGCAAGACAAAACTATTTTGTCTCCGCAGCAAGAATGATAAGAAACGGGGCGCCGCAGTCAGAGTTTTTTAACGAAAAATACATTTTTTTTGGAAGGAAGAAACACAAGCCGAGCGGCCGGAGCGGGCGGGGGGCGGGGCGGGCTCGTGAGCGCACCAATCAGCGCCCGCCGCGCTGCTATAAAAGGGGGCACCGCCGGTGTAGCGGTAGCCGCGTCCGCGCAGCGTCGTCATGTCCGAGAGTGCTCCCGCCCCGGCTGCCGAGGCAGCGCCCGCTGTCCCGGTTCCTGCAGCTAAGGCTGCCGCCAAGAAGCCGAAGAAGGCGGCAGCCGGCTCCAAAGCCCGCAAGCCCGCGGGGCCCAGCGTCACCGAGCTCATCACCAAGGCCGTGTCCGCCTCCAAGGAGCGCAAGGGGCTCTCCCTCGCCGCGCTCAAGAAGGCGCTGGCTGCCGGCGGCTACGATGTGGAGAAGAACAACAGCCGCATCAAGCTGGGGCTCAAGAGCCTCGTCAGCAAAGGCACCCTGGTGCAGACCAAGGGCACCGGTGCCTCCGGCTCCTTTCGCCTCAGCAAGAAACCTGGAGAAGTGAAGGAAAAAGCTCCCAAGAAGAAAACAACCGCAGCCAAGCCCAAGAAGCCGGCGGCTAAGAAGCCCGTCGGCACCGCCAAGAAGCCTAAGAAGGCAGTGACAGCGAAGAAGAGCCCCAAGAAAGCCAAGAAGCCGGCAGCCAAGAAAGCAGCCAAGAGCCCCAAAAAGGCGACGAAGGCTGCCAAGCCCAAAAAAGTAGCGGCAACAGCGAAGAGCCCAGCGAAGGTGAAGGCGGTGAAGCCGAAAACGGCAAAGCCGAAGGCAGCCAAGCCGAAAACGGCCAAAACGAAGAAGGCAGCCCCCAAAAAGAAATAAGGCTCCCGTGGAAGAAAAGTCGTCTACCGCACTTAAAACCCAACGGCTCTTTTCAGAGCCACCCAAATTTTCTCGAAAAGCGCTGAAATAAGATTTATTTTCAAATAGTTTTAGTATAATGTGTTGCACATGAAACCCCACGAAGCGCGTGCCGTGATCGCACCCCGAGATGCTGCGTTAATCGTTACCTTCCGACAAAACGTTCAATCCTGTGGATTGTGGATAGCTTCAGGGCAGCTTAAGTACTCAGCTACTTATGACCGGTGCTTAACGCTTTCTTTTCCGCAGTGTGCTAGGCTATTGTAAAGGGGATAGAGGGTTTTCCCAAAGTGGAACAGATTTATTAGATTCACAACATCACTAAAACAGTCTGTAAACGCTGTTGCTCTTACAGCATTTAACGAATCAGTCATTGATATAAAATCATTTAGAAAGCGCTACTGACGTTCTCTAAATATTTTTCAAAATCGCTTAAAAGCAATTTAGCTCTTCAGTGATGCTGTAGGTGGCTCTGAAAAGAGCCTTTGGGTTTCTGTTGCTTAAATTTTCCCGGGCGTTGCTCTTGGGCGCTTACTTGGCTTTGGCCTTGTGGCTGTCGGTCTTCTTGGGCAGCAGCACGGCCTGGATGTTGGGCAGCACGCCGCCCTGCGCGATCGTCACCTTGCCCAGCAGCTTGTTGAGCTCCTCGTCGTTGCGGATGGCGAGCTGCAGGTGGCGGGGGATGATGCGCGTCTTCTTGTTGTCGCGGGCCGCGTTGCCCGCCAGCTCCAGGATCTCGGCCGTCAGGTACTCGAGCACGGCCGCCAGGTAGACGGGCGCGCCGGCGCCCACCCGCTCGGCGTAGTTGCCCTTGCGCAGCAGCCGGTGCACGCGGCCCACGGGGAACTGCAGCCCGGCCCGCGACGAGCGCGACTTGGCCTTGGCCCGCGCCTTCCCGCCCTGCTTCCCGCGCCCGGACATGGCAGCCACTCAGCAAACCGGCGCTCGCTCCGCAGCCGAAAAAGCCTCGGTAAGTCCCAGCCCGGCCCGCCCGGCGCCTTATATACAACCCGGGCGGAGCGGCAGCGCCTGCTCCGATTGGCTGCAAGAAAGGAATCGTTCGGCAGCCAATGGCAAGGCGAATTCAGAGGAGGCCAATAGCAAAGCCGGGCGCGGGGCGAACCAATAGCGACGCGCCGCTGGGAACAGCACCGCTATAAAAGCAGCTCCCGCGGCCTCTGCGCTGTCGTCGGTTCCTTGTTTGCTGCTTTCGTGTGGTGAGAGTCGGTCGCGTGTTCGCAGCCATGCCCGAGCCGGCCAAGTCCGCACCCGCGCCCAAGAAGGGCTCTAAGAAGGCCGTCACCAAGACGCAGAAGAAGGGCGACAAGAAGCGCAAGAAGAGCCGCAAGGAGAGCTACTCCATCTACGTGTACAAGGTGCTGAAGCAGGTGCACCCCGACACGGGCATCTCCTCCAAGGCCATGGGCATCATGAACTCCTTCGTCAACGACATCTTCGAGCGCATCGCCGGCGAGGCCTCGCGCCTGGCGCACTACAACAAGCGCTCCACCATCACGTCGCGGGAGATCCAGACGGCCGTGCGCCTGCTGCTGCCTGGCGAGCTGGCCAAGCACGCTGTCTCCGAGGGCACCAAGGCTGTCACCAAGTACACCAGCTCCAAGTAAGCTGCCTCTGCAGCTCCCCCGTGCCAGATTTCCTTGACCCAAAGGCTCTTTTAAGAGCCACCCACCTTTTCAATAAAAGAGCTGATGCTGTGCTCATTTGTTCTATGCTAGCCCAAGTTTTTTTCCGGGAAAAAAGCAGTACCAGTGAAATGTAAAGTATAAGGAAAGCGGGATGTCGCTTGCAATAAACAGTGTGTTGGGTTGGGTAGCATCTGCCTCAGCGGAGCAGAGAACCTTCACAACTCGTTAAAAAAAATCCGAGGAAGCCCCCTTTTGGTGTAGTCTTAGGGGTGGTGGATCAAACAATAAACGAACGCTGTTTCGGTCTCTTAAAAAGCCCCAAACCAACAAATGTATCCTGGAAAGCCGGTGCGTGTTGTTTCCTCATGAGGTGTGCCAGCGAAAGACCGTGTGAATCGGGGACAGCAAAAGCTCAGGGGGTTATAGCAGACCCTGTCAGCTTGTTTTTAGGTTCTTTATTTTTTGAGCAAAAAGCTCGGGATTGAGGCGCTCGCTTCCCCTTCCGAGACCGGTATACGGACGGGAGGGCGACCAGGGGAAGCAAAGCGCAACGCTTCTCGGCGCTGTCGTCCCCGACCTGCACAGCCCCGGCCGTGGCGGCGAGCACAGGCTACCCCGCCTGGCTCTTCTCTGGCTGTCGCCCGCTTCTCCCTCCACCCCCCTGTCCCCCCGCGACCCGTCGGTCCCGCCGCCGCAGGGGCTGGAGCCGGTCGGGCAGAGCCGGAGCCGCGCGGCCGCCGGGCTCGGTCGGACCTGGGTGAGGACTGCGCGGCGCTTCCCCGCCGCCGGGCCGGGGGCGGCTCCCGAGGGGGCGGCGATGGGTGGCGCTCGTGGCCCTTTCCCGCTTGCCCAGGGCGCGCTCGCCGCAAGCGAACCGCGGCTTAAACCCTGGCGGGGGAGCAGCCAGGAAAGGTTCGTCTGGCGCGAACATCGGCTGCCCCCCGCGCCTTCTGTCCTTCTGTCCTTCTGTCCTTCTGCCGTGGCCCTGAACCCACCGCGGCTACTGAGCGGGAAGAAACAGCGAGCCCTCGGGGGAGAAGGCGGTGGCCGACGGGAGCTTGACCAGCGGTCCCGACGCCGGGGGCGGGCGAGAGGGGGAGCGGGTTTGCAAGAGGCCGGGCGCGAGGCGTGCGTGGGCGGCGAGGCCTTGTTCCGGTCCTGGCCTACGGTGGTTGCCGCCACCCGCCTGCCTTCCAAACGAGCCTTCGTGGCGGCGGGAGCCGGCGCTAAAGCGTTGCAGAGAGCCGGCAAAGAGCGAGCGGCGGCGCCGGGGCGGGCGCGGGGAGGTCGGGCCGGGCCGGGCCGGCGGCCGCGGGGAAGGGGCGGGCAAGGGGCGGGGGCGGGGCGGGCTCCCCGCGCGGGAGGCGCGAGCTTTTCCCGGGCTCGCGCGAACGGTCCAATGGCAGCCGGGCGGTCTCGCGCGGCGGCCAATGGGCATGGCGCTGCGGCTATAAAGAGCGCGGCAGCGCGGCGGTCGCTGCAGTGTCTTGTGTGTCGAGCGAGAGCGCGGCGGTGGTTGCGGAGCTATGGCGCGCACGAAGCAGACGGCGCGGAAGTCGACGGGCGGCAAGGCGCCCCGCAAGCAGCTGGCCACCAAGGCGGCCCGCAAGAGCGCGCCGGCCACGGGCGGCGTCAAGAAGCCGCACCGCTACCGGCCCGGCACGGTGGCGCTGCGCGAGATCCGCCGCTACCAGAAGTCCACGGAGCTGCTGATCCGCAAGCTGCCCTTCCAGCGCCTGGTGCGCGAGATCGCGCAGGACTTCAAGACCGACCTGCGCTTCCAGAGCTCGGCCGTCATGGCGCTGCAGGAGGCCAGCGAGGCTTACCTGGTGGGGCTCTTCGAGGACACCAACCTGTGCGCCATCCACGCCAAGCGCGTCACCATCATGCCCAAGGACATTCAGCTCGCCCGCCGCATCCGCGGAGAGCGTGCCTGAGTCTCCTGCCGCAGCCCTTCCCCGGCAAGGCACGCAGGCAGCCCACACAGACCCAAAGGCTCTTTTAAGAGCCCCTACATGCACAACGAAAAGAGCTGAATCGCTGATTAAAATCTCTGCAGAATTATTGGGTATAGGAGGAGGAACAAGTCAAGAGTGGACAAATGTCAGTATAATAGCTTAAGAGGGACAATCTTGTCTAAGAGCTACTGCTCGATCTGTAGAAAGAGCTTTTTAAATTCCTTCAAAGTAATTGTCCTGGGTACGACAGTAACAGTTTTAAGACGCTGCAGCTTTTACTTGACAGCCAAAGAGTTAGAAGTGCCGAGTTCTTTGGCTTTCTTCTCTAATCACTCCCATCTCCTTCTTCGGAGGTGTATCGAGACAGTCACAGTCACAGGGATGTAAATTCCTCTATTCTGTCTGAGGCTCTCTGCTTATCTCTCTTAAACTAATACATTATCCTCACATTTCCTCGTTTCAATTTTGTCTCTCTTCCCCATCCGGTGTTCATAAAGCACCTTTTACTCCCTGCAGTATTTGCAAAGGACTGCAGATTAATTACAAAGAAGAAAATTGAGAGCCTTACGGGGTTTATAAAAGAGAATTGTTTATATGCAGGATGCTCAGTAAAATGAGACACTAAAAAAAATAAAGGTCTGGGACCATAAAAGTCAAACATTACAGTCTACAAAATATTACAAAACCCTGATTGTTTCAAAGCAGTGCTACAGGTCTTTTCACTGTGCACTTAGTGGCTCTTAAAAGAGCCTTTGGGTCTGCGTGGCTGCCAGGCTGTGGTTCTTTTTGAGAGCCACCAACTTTTTCACTTGCAGATTACTCGCTTGTGTTTTCTGTCAGTTAACTTTTCAGTCCTCTATGTCTTTCTAGGTCTTTTAAGTTCCACTTGTATAGTATCCTTTGGAAACAATTTTTCTATCAGTAATTGCAGTTTTTCGTATATTTCTGAGGGCCCGACGCTGCAAAACGTGAAGTGACCGAAATTTCAAAAAACCCCGTAAGGGGGCAGCAGGGCCTAAGAAATCGCTTTATATGAGTGCAATTTTGTTCTGAAGACATTAAACAAACTATTATTAGGATCCTTAGAATAATAAAACTAAATACTAGCAAACAGCTTTATTAATCATTTAAGGCATATATTTAATAGATCTTTTTTCCCTAGATTGGAAAGACCAACGAAATATAGGACAACAAGAAAAAAAAGCTATATTGGCATGCATATATCTTTGAAAACATGCCCATGGTATGAGACAGGGAGAAGGGACTGACCAGGGCTGAAAACAGCCTGAGCTAGGGAGAGAACGTACTTTAACAGCAAGCAGGATGTGGATGGCACAGCCGGGGTGCCTTACAAAGAGCTGGTAATTGAAGCAGCCTACGCACAGTAGGTAGGGTAAACCTTGCCAGAAAAAGCAGTCACGATACAAGTGTAAAAAGCACTAATAGGATCTAGATGCAGTTTCTGTTAATACTGAACTGTTTTAATCGTTGGGATTGAACACTGATCACTAAGCAAATCAGACAACACTACAAGTAAAATTACAACAGAAAAGTAGAAATTAAAGCCCTTTTCTTGAAAAAGTGGGTGGCTCTTAAAAGAGCCTTTGGGTTATACAGTATTTCTAGCAGCTATTTACTTGGAGCTGGTGTACTTGGTGACAGCCTTGGTGCCCTCGGAGACGGCGTGCTTGGCCAGCTCGCCAGGCAGCAGCAGGCGCACGGCCGTCTGGATCTCCCGCGACGTGATGGTGGAGCGCTTGTTGTAGTGCGCCAGGCGCGAGGCCTCGCCGGCGATGCGCTCGAAGATGTCGTTGACGAAGGAGTTCATGATGCCCATGGCCTTGGAGGAGATGCCCGTGTCGGGGTGCACCTGCTTCAGCACCTTGTACACGTAGATGGAGTAGCTCTCCTTGCGGCTCTTCTTGCGCTTCTTGTCGCCCTTCTTCTGCGTCTTGGTGACGGCCTTCTTAGAGCCCTTCTTGGGCGCGGGTGCGGACTTGGCCGGCTCGGGCATGGCTGCGAACACGCGACCGACTCTCACCACACGAAAGCAGCAAACAAGGAACCGACGACAGCGCAGAGGCCGCGGGAGCTGCTTTTATAGCGGTGCTGTTCCCAGCGGCGCGTCGCTATTGGTTCGCCCCGCGCCCGGCTTTGCTATTGGCCTCCTCTGAATTCGCCTTGCCATTGGCTGCCGAACGATTCCTTTCTTGCAGCCAATCGGAGCAGGCGCTGCCGCTCCGCCCGGGTTGTATATAAGGCGCCGGGCGGGCCGGGCTGGGACTTACCGAGGCTTTTTCGGCTGCGGAGCGAGCGCCGGTTTGCTGAGTGGCTGCCATGTCCGGGCGCGGGAAGCAGGGCGGGAAGGCGCGGGCCAAGGCCAAGTCGCGCTCGTCGCGGGCCGGGCTGCAGTTCCCCGTGGGCCGCGTGCACCGGCTGCTGCGCAAGGGCAACTACGCCGAGCGGGTGGGCGCCGGCGCGCCCGTCTACCTGGCGGCCGTGCTCGAGTACCTGACGGCCGAGATCCTGGAGCTGGCGGGCAACGCGGCCCGCGACAACAAGAAGACGCGCATCATCCCCCGCCACCTGCAGCTCGCCATCCGCAACGACGAGGAGCTCAACAAGCTGCTGGGCAAGGTGACGATCGCGCAGGGCGGCGTGCTGCCCAACATCCAGGCCGTGCTGCTGCCCAAGAAGACCGACAGCCACAAGGCCAAAGCCAAGTAAGCGCCCAAGAGCAACGCCCGGGAAAATTTAAGCAACAGAAACCCAAAGGCTCTTTTCAGAGCCACCTACAAAGTCAGAAAAAGAGCCTGAATTTCACTGAAGTCTCAAAAGCCCGCGGTGCATTTTAAAATTGTCTGATATAATTACACACCTCCAGTTAGTACGAGCCACAGCCCCGTGCTCAAACCACTCCGGCTCCGGGGCGGGGCTGTCAGCGCTCTTAGGAAGCAGATCAGCCTTCCCGAGGCCGTACCCAATCCGTATGCCGTATCGGCATAAAGCCACCAGCGCGGTGCTTCCCTCCCCCTTCTATGCAGGGGAAATTTGAGCGACTCTGAATCTTGCTGCTCCGTCTGGCCGTTACCGAAATGAAACGGCACTTGCACCAGCACACCACCATTCCCCAAAACATCTCCCTGCTGCCCCTTCCACAAAACAGCATTTCAGCCCTTCTAAGAAAGCGTGGGTGGCTCTGAAAAGAGCCGTTGGGTTAAAGTGTGGAGAAAGACCTTTTCTTCCACAGGGGACTTACTTTTTGGGGGCTGCTTTCTTCGCTGCTTTCGGCTTCGCTGCCTTCAGCTTTGCTGCCTTTGGCTTCGCCGCCTTTGCCTTGACAGGGCTCTTCACTGCTGCCGCTGCTTTTTTGGGCTTGGCAGCCTTCGTCGCCTTTTTGGGGCTCTTGGCTGCTTTCTTGGCCGCGCTGGCCGCCGGCTTCTTGGCTTTTTTGGGGCTCTCTTTCACTGTTACCACCTTCTTGGGCTTCTTGGCGGCGCCGACGGGCTTCATAGCCGCCGGCTTTTTGGGCTTGGCTGCGGCTGTTTTCTTCTTGGGAGCTTTTTCTTTCACTTCTCCAGGCTTTTCGCTGAGGCGGAAAGAGCCAGACGCACCTATACCTCTGGTCTGCACCAGGGTGCCTTTGCTGACGAGGCTCTTGAGCCCCAGCTTGATGCGGCTGTTGTTCTTCTCCACATCGTAGCCGCCGGCAGCCAGCGCCTTCTTGAGCGCGGCGAGGGAGAGCCCCTTGCGCTCCTTGGAGGCGGACACGGCCTTGGTGATGAGCTCGGTGACGCTGGGCCCCGCGGGCTTGCGGGCTTTGGAGCCACCCGCCGCTTTCTTCGGCTTCTTGGCGGCGGGGGCCGGGGCGGCGGAGGCAGGGGTGGGGGCGGTCTCGGACATGTCACCGACAGACCGAGCTTCGGCGGCGGCTGCGGCCGCGCCCCTTTTATAGCAGCGCGGCGGGCGCTGATTGGCTCCTGCCGCCCCGCCCCGCCCCGCGCTCCGAACTCACGCTTGTGTTTCTTGGGGTAAAACGGGATGGCTCTTTATTCCTTTGTCTGTCACATCTCCTCTACATCTGTGAGGCCGTGGAAGCGGCTATTTTCGCCTGTTGGTGTCTTCTCGAGAAAAAAGAGGCATCTGCGTGGCGAGGGGACAAGAAATCCCCAGTCCTGCCACTAAACGGACCTCGAGAGAGCAAAAGTTTTGGTTTTCTTTGTGAGTCAGGAAACTCTGTCTTAATCTTTAGAGAGTCCTTTTTACATTAGATAAGAAAGCAAACAGCATCTCATTCTTTAAAACAGAATGATTTCTAAGAGAGTGAGGTAGCACAAACACTACAAGCTCTGCCGCTGCTTCTCCTACAGAAGTTTGTACCTCTGACGACTGTGAAACACTCAGTTAGGGATATTTCTTTCCCATACTTCCAAACCTAAAGTTTCCAGACTTTCCACACTTCTATGCATGAAGTATTGCACAGCAGATACTTTATCCACCTCAGAATGGGCTACCTTCTCTGAAAGTCTTGGCTATTGTTAACATAGCAAAAGGCTCTCTAATATTAGTGGAATAATTTGGCACATGAAGACCAAAGATTAAAAGGTTTCTGTTGGACCACAGAGCTTCATATAAGTCTTTGGCACGCAGAAGCAAAAACACTCTAAATAAAGCACACAATTCTAAATCTGTAAAATCTGTTTGTATGATTCACTAACAGGTTTTCATGCTGCTAATCACACAGTCCCTGGTGCAGTGATACCATGGCTGGGCAGGGCTATAGGGAGCTTGAGATTGGCCCTATTTCTGTATTGCAGAGGCAGGGGCTGATGGACCCAGGGGAGCTGGAATGGGGTCCTGGAACCTGGACAGGATTGGGGGAGCCCAAGAGGTGCTGGGCAGGGACAGATAGGGCTGGTGGTGCCCTGACAGGCTGGTGCCTGCCCCTCTTCAGTGTAGCAGGGACTATAAGAGGCTCTCAAGGTTCTGCTTCAGCATCTCTCTAGATCCAGATAATACAGAGTAATTCTGTCTAAGTTGCATGCAAATGTTTGATTACAGTCCTAGTAGACAGAGACATAGATTTCAGTTGTAACAAAACTCTATTGCCACTTGCACTTGTCATTGACATTGGATGTAGTCACCAGGTTTAGGTTCAGTATAGCTGGAAACAACATTTCCTGCACCTCAGTTTAGTGACTCCCAACTCTTTTGTCATCAAACACATAAAAATGTGGGAATGGCTTGGCTGACCTTTTATAGGGCCCACAGTGGCTGGCTGGATCTGGAACACTCTTTCACCTTCATTTCATTGACCCTCACAGGGAAACATCTCAAGAGATTTTGGACTAGCAGCAGCCAGCTTCATTTGCCAAAATGTCCTTCTAGGCACCAGCGTTTCCAACCCCTCCAACACAGTCACAAGATCCAAAAAGGGAAAGTAGAAAGAGCTGTTTGTTTCATCTTTCATCTCCTCCCTGGAGATGGTCTGGTTTTGGTCTGGGTGACAATGTACAAGTCTACCTGGTGGGAACTCCCATCTTTTCCCATCCCACTCTGAACCATGACACTCACATCACCAGAATGCCTTAGGCAATTTTATTTCCTCCAAGGCAGCTGGTCTTAAACTTCTGGCTGGCATGCAGCCCTTGGTGTTCACCTGCTCCCCATTGGTGCCCACCTTGGTCAAGCAAAGAATAACTGCCTTTACATGGTAGCTTTCTCTGATTAATCTAGACACTTAAGAGTTGCCTTTCGGACCTGTTTTACCTCTTGCATTCTCTGACACAGGATCTGGGGGAAAGACCTGCTTGCGGAAGAGCACTGCTGCATCACTATTTTTGTTACTCCTTTACTAACCAAGAGCTTGACTCCTCTCATTTCTCTTCTTCCATCATCAGTGACCCATGATGCCCAAATACAACTTGCAACCCTCCACTTTTGCAGAGAAGCCAGGAAAATGAGCTACCACCTCATAGAAACAAGCTCACAGTGCCTCAGCACAGGTGGACAAACATCCTTGAGGGAGAAGAGATTGGTCCTTCTCCTCTCTCTGTGTTTCTGGAGGGCAGGGATTGAAGATGATGTTCCCTGCACTTTTCCTAGAGCACACTGGGATGCAGAGTCTGCAAAGGAAAGGAGGAATTTGGCAGAGATGTCCAGCAGCTGATACAGCCCTGAGCTAAGAGCAAAAATAGCTGCTGGTATCACTGCACCCATGAAAACAGGGGAAATGCATGAAGCTGGGCAAGCAGGCATGTTCAGAGAAGAGCTAGTGGGTTGTTTTGTCATCTTATTTTTCAGTATATATAAGGTGTGTTATGTAAAGTGCTTAGTTTGGGGAACCCTGAATACATCCATGTCTCCTGTTCCTTTTCCACTAGACTCCTCTGCTAGTTTTCAACTGATTAACAGATTCTAAGAGGTTTTTAAAAATTATCTGCATGAAGCAATATTCTTTCCTTATTGCTTGCATCTATTCAAATGAGAATTCCTATGACAGCTGTCCCATCACTTCCATATTTATAAAAAAAAAAAAAATTTTGTCCAAGGGGCCTTACAAGAGAAGGATTCCTGTTGGCCTACTGAAACCTTTTCCAAGAAACATAAAGAAAAGAATGCTATGGCATTGAAGGCTGATTTAGTATTCATCACATCAAGTTCTTTAGAGTCAGAAGTATGATATACCATTAAAAATGGAAAGTTTAACCCACCAGTCTTGAAAAGATCCAGAAAAGGGAATTTAAAACTATAGCCTGGTCAGTAGTATGCAAGCTGTGCTAGCTCACAGGTAGCCTCAAGGAGCAAGCATTCATCTGAAACTAAGTCCACCTCTATGCACCATTTGTTTCTGCCCATGAGGCAATGAGCAGACCACCAGATTCCTCCCTACCTCTGTTTCTGTGCATATCAGGTGACAATGGCTACCTCCAAAGCTCATTGAAATTGCTGCAGAACAGCAAGAGATTTTGAGTTGTCTGTAGTTTCATGTTGATAATCAGAGGCCCTGGATCCAAATTGATGTAATTTTTGAGTATACATCGGGAAATGTGTCAGCCTCCATATGCTTCCTGAAATATAAAAAGTGGTGAGAAGTAGGCAGCCTGATTACCAATGCCCACTTGCAATCTACTCTGCTAAAGAGGAAAAGACTCCTTCTGAGGAAGAGATTTTAGGGAAAGAGACTACTATTTTCTAGGCTCCTTCATTACACACTGTGAGAAGACCCATCTACAGAATGGCTGAAGAAGGAAGTGTTTCAGGTGTAATGTTTGACCTGTACTGTGGCTAAAAGAAGAGGGATGCTCATCTCCAGACATCACTCTAAAGAGGCACAGTTTTGCTTTACAAGTGAGATGATGGAATTCACTGAGAATATGCCTGGCCAAAGCACTGGTGCAGTTGTTTGTTTAGAGAAGCTTTTGTCTCAGTGAATATCAACACAAATGCAATGTGAGGGTGATGTCCACTACGTATCATCTTAATCCATGCTTTCTCTTACAGCTTGGGATGGGGTGAATAATTAAAATAGATAATTTTCAATCTTGATCTATAAATCACATCACTCCAATTGGAGCCTTTTAGTTACTATTCGTGGTCCTAGGCCTCATTGAAGCTGAGAAGCATTGCAGTAAGTTAACATGAGAGGCAGCAGAGCTACAAAACAACCCGAAAAAAAAGCTATCTTAATAGCTAAATTAAACATGTAGCCCTGTGTAGCTTGTAAGGAGGTAAAGAGGAGACTGCCTTCCATACAAGTACCTCTTCTGCATAGACTGTGATCCCACTGTGTGCATGAGTCAGAAGAGTGGTCCTTGGTAATCTAATTCTTCCCTGGTGCAATTTAGGGTTTCCCTTTCATCAGAGCTCCAAATGTCATGAAGATCAAGGGAAATGCTGTAGTTAAGATGTTATTTTACAGTCTTCCTTGAAAATACTTCTTTTTTTGTTTCATCTTAAGCAATTTCCATCTGTCTGCAAAGCATCTTCTCAGAGTGAGAAACAAAGTAAAAGGTACAATTTCTTCTGTGTTGCCCTCAGTGGCAACAGGGTTTATTTTGACTCCATTTAACCTAGAGAGATACAAACAGCTTTAATGTTTTCTATAAAACCAGTCCTAGGCCCAAGTCAGCTAGACCCAATAGCCAGGACTCTCTTTACTGCTTGTATCTGGCATAGATTAGAGAAAAAAAAAAAAAAAAAAACAAAACCAAAAACAAACTTATAAGGAAATACTTTTTTTCCCCCCCTTTTTTTTTTTTTTTTCTTCTTTCGTTTTGGAGTGGGCTGGTTTTTTGTTTTTTTATTACTGGACTGGTAAAAAGAGGTATTACCTGCTCTTTTCAAGGGCTGCATTTGATCAATGCTATCAGAAGAGTTTACTACACTTCCAAGCCTTTGTACCTCCAAATATCATGCAATTTTTAGAAAGTACTTTTTTAAAACTGCATGTGTTTGCAAACCACAGGTCACATAGCCATGCCCTGCCCTTATGGCTTCTGCCAGTCATGCAGGGAGTATCTGCAGGTGCAGGGAAGCACAAGTTTCCCTTCCTCCCTTCCATGTCCTGATCATTTGTTCATGAGGGTATAGGAAGTAGGCTGAATCCACCCCGGCCAAGAGCATCTGCTGACATCCCTTCAGGGACACCGGGCAGCTGAGCACTCAGGCACAGCTCACACCCAAACATGGAGCATGGGAGAAACACTGAGCTCCTGTCCTCATCATGTCCTCGCTCTGCAGCTGGCCACCTTCCCCTCTTCTGGAAGCACAGGTTTCCAGACCCCTGGGAGTGGGGACTTGCTCTTGCCAGATCTCCCATTAGCAGATTTAGTACTGTGAAGATGTCCTTAACTCCCTCATGAAACTATCACTCCTTCTTTACAAATTTCCTTTCAAAGAGTTTTATA